GGCTTGTTCACACCACGGACGATGAAAAAATGCATTTAAAAGAACGCAGCCGCGTGCACGCCACTTTATCGGCACTGTTTACAACCTTGTTTGACAGCAATCAGAAATCATAATGATTTAAAGGCCGCGAAGTGGCAAAAGTCAAAACTACAGGTAGTGTGTCAGGCCAATTTTTAACGTTATTGATGTGAACAGGCTTTTTTAACTAAGAACTTTAATAAGAGTCCTACAAATATTGGTTATTCTGCATTTTAACATCAGATAATATACAATCACCAGCCACTTTATTAGGTACACCTTACTAGCACCGGGTTGGACCATTTTGCCTTCAGAACTGCCAAAATCCTTCGTAGCATAGATAAAAACAAGGTACTGGAAATATTTCTCAGAGATTTTGTTCCATATTTGCATGATAGCATCACGCAGTTGCTGCATATTTGTCAGATGCACATCCATTATGTGAATCTCCCGTTCCGCCACTTCCCAAAGGTACTCTGTTGGATTGATGCCTGATAGCTGTGGAGACCATTTGAGTCCAGTTAACTTCAAGTGGTTCAAGAAACCAGTCTGAGATGATTTGTGCTTTATGACATGCTGCGTTATCCTGCTGGAAGTAGCCATCAAGATGGGTACATTGTGGTCATAAAGGGATGCACAGGGTCAGCAACAATACTCAGGTAGGCTGTGGCGTGGACACAATGCTTAGTTGGTACTAATGGGCTCAAAGTGTGTAAAGAAAATACCCCTTCACACCACCAGCACCAGCCAGAACTATTGATACAAGACAGAATTGATCCATGCTTTCATGTTGTTGATGTCAAATTCTGACCCTATCATCTGAATGTTGCAGCAGAAATCGAGCCTCTTCAGACCAGGCAACGTTTTTCAATCTTCTATTGTCCAATTTTGGTGAGCCTGTGTGAATTGTAGGCTCAGTTTCCTGTTCTTAGCTGACAGGAGCGGAACCCGTTGTTGCTGTAGCCTATCTGCCTCATGGTTGGACGGGTTTTGTGTTCAGAGATGCTCTTCTGCAGACCTCGTTTGTAACGAGTGGTTATTTGAGGTACTGTTGCCTTTCAATCAGCTGGAACCAGACTGGCCATTCTCCTCTGATGTGATTGGCTGATTAGAAGTTTGCGTTAACGAGCAGTTGGATAGATGCACCTAATAAAGTGACCGGTGTGAGTATATCTAGTAATGTTGGACTGCAGAATAACCAATATTAGTATTTAACTAGATTCAACTTTTTTCATATTACTGATCTGTAGATAGCCTTTAATTGATCATGTATCAGTTGTTAAATATCTCTACTACATAGGAAATAGATCATATATTAACGATAAAGTAGAGATAATTACTACCTGATACTGTATTAATTAAAAGTCATCGACAAATCAGTAATAATAAGAGAAAGGTTGATGCCAATTGTTACATTTGAAACCAGAAGTTTACATACACTGTATAAAAAAAGCTCATAACAATTTTTAAAAAAGATGTAAATGTGACTAGACTTTTTCTCTTTTAGGTAAGTTAGGATTATCACATTTGTTTCTGTTATGCTTAATAGCAGAATAATGACAGAGATATTTTTTGAGAAATTGTTATAAGTTTTCTTGAAAGTCAAGTTTACATTCAATAAGATTATTCTGCCTCTAAAAAAGCTTAGATGATGGTGTCAAGGTTTTGGAAGTTTCTGATTGGCTAATTGACAACATTTGAGCTGATTGGAGGCACAACTGTAGAATAGTATAAGAGGAAACCTCAAACATACTGCTTCCTTGTGTGACAACATTAGAAAATCAACAAGCCAGAATCAACAAAAAAGCCAGATTACAATGTGCTAAATTACACTGGGAAAAAGACGAATTTTCAGAGACATGTCCTGTGGTCTGATGGAACTAAGATTGAACTGTTTGGCCATAATGACCAGAGTTACATTTGGAGCACAAAGGAGAAAGCTCACAAGCCCAGGAACACCATCCCAACTGTGAAATATGGGGGCGGCAGCATCATGTTCTGGGGCTGTTTTGCTGCAGGAGGGACTGGTCCACTTCAGAGCATAGATGGCATCATGAAGAAAGAACATTATGTAGAAATACTGAAGCAACATCTCAAGACATCAGCCAGGAAATTAAAACTTGGCCACAAATGGTTCTTCCAAACAGACCATGACCCTAAGCATACTGCCAAATTAGTTAAAATGTGCTTTAAGGACAATAGAGTGAATGTTTTGGAGTGGCCATCACAAAGCCCTGATCTCAATCCAATAGAAAATTTGTGGGCAGAGTTGAAAAAGCTTGAGCGAGCAAGACAGTCAACAAATCTGACTCAATACACCAATTCTGTCTGGAGGAATGGGCCAAAATTCCTTCAAACTATTGTGAGAAGCTTGGGGAAGGATACCCAAAGCATTTGACCAAAGTTATACAGTTTAAAAGCAAAGCTAAAAAAAAAAAAAAACAAGGAAATGTATGTAAACTTTTGACTTTCTAGAAATTAATAAAAATAAATAAATAAATAAATAAATAAATGATCTAATTTTATGGCATTTAGCAGATGCAAATCATTTAGGTGATCCTAACGGACCTAAAATAGTAAACGTTTAGTATGATTTACCATCAGACATTTTTTTAAATGGTTATGTTCCTTTTTTAGTGTTTGTAAACTGCTGGTTTTAACTGTATATAGGCCTATTATAATTTACATTTTGTTGCAAACAGTATTGTTACATATCGTATTTTATTTTTACTTGTGCCTCTTTTAAAACATTGGACAGTTTAATGTTAAATGGATCCAATCCTTATTCTGTCCAATTAATTTAACAGAGAAATAAACTAGCTAGTCCTGTATGCAATTGACCAATATCAGTGCATCATCCCTACTTAAAGTATTTCTGTATAGAAATATTAATCTTTGAAGCATTTAGCTCTACTTTAATGATCTCTGCAGTAGTACAGTTTTAACCCTTTATATTGTGTTATGCAAACATGTATATTTATCAATACTGTCACTAAGCCATATAGCAGATTTGCTGACTGAATCTCTTGTATGCTTGACAGTACCCCTGGCTTCCTGTTTGGGAAACGGATTCTATTCTTCCTGTCACTCATGTGTGTTGTTGGAATTATTAATCACCTGATGCTCACGTATGGTGGCAGCGACTATAAAGAATACATCCAGACCATCACTAAAGCAGCGTCCACCCTTCTGCTCCTGCCCTAATCTGGGCCAACATCTCAGTGTAGAGGAGGATCTCTTTCAGTTAATGCTTTATCAGTTTGAGGATATAACAAAAAAGGAAGAAGAAAGAAAGTGTGAAACGTTCACATGATTACAAATAACATTTAATTGCAAAACGGTTTGTACATATTACAAATTAACACAAGAAGACATAAAACAGCTGTTATATCCCAGCGTAATGTATTTAAATATGATTTAAAGGGCTCATACAGTATCAATCAGTAATGTTTTAGTTGTGGCCAAAATAGTAAGGATTTAGAATTTAAGCCTGTTTCTGTGAATAAACAAACAAGCAAAATACTTTAAATGTATTATTATTATTATTACTTTAAAATACTTTAGTTCTCTGTATTTAACTGAATGCTGCTGTGTTAACAGCTCTTAAATTAGTCTGTTTGTAATATCGTGCCATTAAAAAGTTCCAAGTTCTGCATATGCACCGGATTGCCGGTTTCCTGATGTGTAGAAATTTAGCGCATATATCAACAGCCTCTTTGCACAGTCTGGATTACATAACAGGATTGCAAAATATTCAGTGATGAAATGTCAAGATCAGACTGAAACCTTGTTAAAAATACACGTTTTTAATGACACTCTGGAAGTGCGGAGTAGATGATGCTACGCACAGGTCAGAGGAAAATGTGATGTTTTAATCTGTGGCGTAAGAAAGGTTTTCACTTTGCTGTAAAATATAAAGGAAAATTTTATTCTTTATGACATGAGACATTTAAAGCAAGGAAAGGAACACATTCAGACACATTCAGTGACCAATTAAAAAAAAAAAAAGTATTGTAATTATTTTCATTTATATACAATTTATAACTTCAACATAATTATAATTCCTATGATTTTTTATGATTGTTTTTTATTATTGCTAATGTGAGAAAATAAAGTTTTATTTACAGTAAAATGGTCCTTTAAGGTGCTTTAATGAACTACAGTTTCTTAGCTTTCGTAGTCTCCTCATCTGTGTACTTCGATTCCTGGATTAAAGTGATAGTTCAGTCAAAAAATTATAATATAATCACCCTCAAGCCATCAGTGTATGACTTTCTTCTTTCAGTTAAACCGTATCCTGGCTCTACCATGCTGTGTAATGGTGATGGGTAAAGATGGATTTAAATTTTCACCTGGCGCCACATCGCGCACCTCCGCTGACTGCACAGGCACCTCACTTGACACGTTCGCCGTTGTGATTTTCTTTAAAAACACAGGGCAGTCAAAAGAAACTGATAGAAAAATCAGACGGATAAACAGAGAAGTTGAAAGTTTCCGGAACTACGTCATATCATTAATATCGTTTAATATTATTAAACAAATAAAACCGGTCAAGATTTTTTTTAAATCAAACTTTTTTCATTTTATTTGCAAAATCATTTGCTTTTGTTCATATCTCGGACAGTTCTACCTATTAAAGTTTATTAAAATATCAATGACAACAGAACATGAGTTGCTCTATAAATATATTTGTATTATGGCAAGAATAAAAGCAAAAAAAAAAAAGAGAACATTTACTTAAATACAGATGGTTTTTTTTTAGATTTAGCCTGATCCACAATTCACACATTACTGTCTGCCTAGTTTTTGTCCTCTACTGATGTGCTAAAAAGGCAATAATAGTCCAACATTCCTGATCATTGTTTTCCAAAAATGGGTTGCTGCTGGAAGGGCATCCGCTGCGTAAAAACTTGCTGGATAAGTTGGCGGTTCATTCCGCTGTGGCGACCCCGAATTAATAAATGGACTAAGCCGACAAGAAAATTAATGAATGAATGAACTCCTGATCATTATCACCAATAAAGCCCAGAAAAACAGGGCATCAGTATATTGTAAACTGATATGTTCAAAATATTATTTTCCAGTTATCAAAGAAATGATTTGTTCCTTAATTATAGTCTTGTAACTATTAAACTGTTTTAAATTCACAATTTTAATACTTACATCACCTGTGGATAGTGGAAAAACATATTTCTGTAATTGTGTACTCGAGTCTCCACTTTTGCCATGGCCTCTTTTTACTTTATCAAACGAATCCCTCAGGTTTTTCCAAACTTTTACAAAAACTGTCCTCCTTTCCCACGGCTGTTGCAATTTCTAGTCGAGAATTATTGGTCATATGATTACTCTGATCACTGATCATACAGATGTCTGTACAGTGGTACTGTTTCAGACAAAATCTCTTCAGAGTGTTTCATATTCAACTCAAATCAAACGCGGCGCCGCATGCACTGTTCGCTCGAGTCACAAAAAAAATTGTGCGCTCCGCCAGCCGAATAAATGCATCGTAAAACTAATCCATACGCCATCTACTTGACAGTGTTTTCAAAACGATCTCCTTGTATTATGCTTGCCAGGCCAGTATTTGGCGCTGTTACTTTATTAGTAAGCAGTGAATGTGCCATCGGGGGCTTGGCACACATGTCTTTGTATAATTGTAATGTGAAGTAATGCTTTTGTATGCTTATAAAAGGCTTTAAAAAGAGCCACCAGCCAACATCATTATACAGCATGAAAAAGCCTGAATAAAATGTAAAACTTCTCCAACTGTTTTTGTCTGAAAGAAGAAAGTCATATACCCAGAGAATGGCTTAAGGTTGAGAAAATTTTGGGGTGAACTAATCCTTTAAGTCAACATTTTCTGTCTTAAATTGTGTTGATATCATCTTCCATGGTAGGAGACCTGCAAAATCGGATTTCCAGTTATATTCTCAATACTTTAAACCATCAAACAGACATCACTGTAAGAAATATTTGTAAATTAGCAGTTTCCATATTTACTGATTCATGTTTTTTTATTTATTCATTTATTATTTTTTCACTTAATTATGCTTTTGAATTGCTTTATGAGATCTTGATCTTTCCTCTAATAGCTTTTGATGTTGAAAAGTTTGAAAAGTGACCCATGTTGACGTTTTTAATATTGTGAAGTTATATATTGTCTGTGTTTGTGTTGTAAATTATGGTACAAGAACCTGGTAACAAACTGCCAGTAAATAAACTTAATTCTCTCTATACTACTTCAATAATGTCTTGTCTCAAATAGGCATCGGCTAGTATAAGATTCTGACGCTATGATAGCCTTGGATATAAAATTCATAGTTTCACGATGTCACGGTATAGGGTATATGCCGAGCTAGTGTTTCTTCCTATACTTATAAACTTCCGGTGAACTCTTAATGTGACTTTTTTTCCATTTTATACGGTTCCTTTTACAGCACAGGTGTCAAACTCGGTTCCAAAATGGTCGCAGTTTAGTTCCAAAAGGGCTCTGCTCAGTTTAGTTCCAACCCTAATTAAACACACCTGATCAAACTAATTGAGTCCTTCAGGCTTGTTTAAAACCTACAGGTAAGTGTGTTGGAGCAGGGTTGGAACTAAACTGTGCAGGGCTTCGGCCCTCCAGGAATTGAGTTTGACACCCCTGTTTTACAGCATCGATGTTGTGATGTAATTACAATACTGATTGTAAGATCATTGTAAAGTATTGTAAAGTTAAATAGACTTTGGTATTTATTTAGTTGCTCAAGCGTAAAACGAGACAAAAGCCATTTACTCGAAGAGGCCCTACAGAATCGGCAGGCTAGTGCAGAGGCTCCATTGAATACACTGGGGTAAAATAAATGTTCATGTTTTAAAGACATGGCAGGGAAAAGTAATTTAATGTCGTGCTTCTTGTACAATCTGAGACCCGCTTTATATCGGATATCACTCAGCCAGTGGGGATTGATGATTTTTAAAGAAAACAGACCTTAAACGCGCCGATTTTGTAGTGGGTATACAGTTCACCAGAAATGCTTAACCGAGGTTACTGTCAAATTAAAAGTCTTTTAGCATACTTCTGCATATACCCTATTGTGATTTCTGCTCTAAGATATATGCTTCTTAAATGTCTGGGTAAAAAACAAAACCTTTTCCCGTTTTTAAATAAAATATTTTAATTTGGGAAACTTTTAAAATATTTTTCTGCTGGTACTGTTGTCCTAAAAACAAAAACAAAAAAAACGTAATGAAAAAATCTTACTCCTACCTTAGGAACAGTATAGCAGAACATTTTGGTTTTAAAACCTTGACTTTTCCAAACTGCAGTATACCTTAAACACGGTTAACGTCCCATGCCTAGTCTCAAACTACTAAAATGCCAATAAAAGCCACTTCAATTTTCAACATCAACTACCATGATGCAAATTACAATTGTAAATAAACATAAAACACCATGTGAACCACAACATACGGCAACTGTTAATTAATAGATGTTTAAACAGTGCTGCTAAAGGATTAAAACACACCTTGAACTGTCGTTTGCTGAAGCCAAACCAGTAGGGAAAGTCAAAAAGGGCATCAGAGCGGTACTTGATGGTGAAGTGTGTGTCTTTCCAGGTTCGTTCCACCTTTTTCAGATCAGCAAGAGCTTGAGAGTTCTCCCTCATCCATCCCTGCAGCGCTGCACTAACATCAACCTTAATGTTGATGTTTTTCAAAATATTAGTATTCAGGTGTTCAAGTGACATTAAAAGGCTAAACTAGGTTAATTAGGCAAGGTAGGGTAATTAGGCAAGTCATTGTATAACAGTGCTTTGTTCTGTAGACAATCATTAAAAATATTGCTTAAGGGAGCTAATAATATTGGCCTTAAAACCGGTTTTAAAATAAATTAAAAGCTGATTTTGCTTTTATTGTAGCCAAAATAAAACAAATAAGAAAAAATATTATAGGAAATACTGTTAAAATTTTCTTGCTCCTTTAAACATCATGTGGGAAATATTTGAAAAACAAAGAGGTGAATTAATAATTCTATCTTCATGTGTATGTTGTAAATCACAGGAAAACGAGTCTTCACTCACGTCAACTGTATAGCTCTCTCCAGCGACGGATGAAATGGTCTTGTCCAAGCCTCTCTCCATCTCCCATCTGATCATTGGATGACTGCCGTTTATCGCCAACACGTAATATTCAGCAGCTTTGGACAATTATTAAGGGTGTGTTGTTAACAAATGCAGTATGTGACTGTGTCAAAGTTTAATAATTCCTCCCGTGTTGACATGACATATAGCTTTACAGTATTTCCTGGCTGAGTCATTTGAGTAAATTAGTACTTGTTGATCTCACCAAGACCATAAAAATAAGTTTTAAGTCCATGTTAAACAATATGTAAAAATAGATAATTATATACATAGAAATCATCATAAAATATTATCTTGAATAAAATAAATAAAATAAACAGAATAAAAAAGTACTAAAATATATATTTTCAAAGTTAATTATATAATTTTTTTAGGTTAATATAATTAAATAAATAAATATAATTTAAACTACATGAAAATGAAAATTATTTTTGTCTTTTTTATTCCGTTTATTTAAATTTAAATAAAAAGAAATTATTTCAGTTACTAAATAATAACCAATATTTATGAATAAACATAAAATATTAATTAATAACTAAATAAAAAATATTTAATAATTTTTCATACAATAGAAAGAGTATCGTTTATTTCTTTGGAGAAACAAATAATCACCATTACACATTTTTACAATGATTTTATTGCGAAGATACCTAATAAAATATAACTCTATGTACAAATTGTACCAAAAACATTTTATCATGCAAACTTTATTAATCATTTTAAATATTTTAGTAAGTACAGGTAAGAATGCACATGTTGTTTCATTTTTACATAAATAGATCTGTTGTGAATGGCAATGGAACATCATTTCCACTTTCTACATTTAATTTTCACTACAGTAATATGTAATATAAAGTCTGTTGCATTTAATATGCTTTCTGCATATGCATATAATACTTTTATTAAATGCAAACAAAAGCATGTCTAGTCTGTGATGAATATATGTAGATATCTGGACCACAAAACCAGTCTAAAATATGTGGTTATATTTGTAAAAATAGCCAAAAATACATCATATTGTATTATTATATATTGTATATTGCAACAAAATTATGGATTTTTCTTTTATGCCATAAAACAAATTAAGATTGAGTTCCATTTACAGCTTCCTACTGTAAATTTCACAATTATTGAATACTAATAAGCATTGTTAAGATATTAGTAATCTGTCCTTAATCTGAACAACTTGAAAGGATTTATTTTATTTTATTTTTTTTAATTTTTTACTTTTTTGATGCTAGATGTTGATATAGCTGCATCTCAATGTTGTAAACAAACATTACAACATTAGAAAACTTATTATAAATTAAAAATAAATTTGACGTTATGAATGGTTTTGTGGTCCTTGGTTATATCAACAATGTCAAATGTTTGTAGTCTTGTGTAAAACAAAACTTGAGTATTAAGAATTAAATATTAAATATTAACAACAAATTTTAACAAATATGAACAAAAATCCTACCTAGAACATCTCCATTGCTCTTCTCTTGGCCTTTAGTGTTGTCATAAGCAAACACTAGTATGTAAATCGTCTTTAAGGTCAGTTGTCGTCTTAAATCCGTGTACTCTCCCAAAGTACGTACTGTGATTTTCCTGTAATGCCCATACGACTTAAAAAACACGCTACATGTAAACATACCAGTGAAATATGATAAATTGGATTAATAAACCACATTTACCTTCCTGGGGAATTGTAGAAAATCACTTTTCCCTCTCTAGAATGGATGTCATCGATGAAGACGCAGCTTTTCTCCGGATCCCACTTCAGGAGTCTGCAGCCCGAGCGCCGCTCCACGGTAAATCCGGATGGAGGACGGTTCACGAACGACTCCAGCTTCATAACGTCCAAAACAAACCGCGAGCTGATGTTTTCACGCATTTTATTTCCTTTTTAACTTCTTTGAGGACCAATACAAGTGTCGCCAGTTTCTTTGGTTTAGTGGGCGTGGAGGCTGTAGGAACGAATCTCTGCATAAAACCGCTTATACTGAGTCATTGTTCAGTGTGAAGCCGTTTAACAGCATACTGACTGTGTTTTATCGCCTGTCACACTGGTGAAATATGGTGTCCTCATTTAAAAAACAGCTTATGGTTGCTATTTAGGACAAATTTCCTATTAGTCACGTTTAAAGTAGGTCAGTTTACCGTCTACAAGTCCCAGTAGGCGTGTAACAACGGCGTTTCTCTGACTGAGGGAACACATGTTTATTATCTCAATAACATTGCCGTACAAAAATAGTTTACGATGGTTTGTTGATGGTTTTGGTTGTAGCTAAACTAACTTAGCTGGCTTATTTGATAGTTTTATTGGGATAGTTTACTCCAAAATGTAAATGTACTTACAAACAAGTCGTTATATAAACTTTTTTCCTTAATCCGTTGAACACTGAGGACCCCGTGTTGGCGTTGGTTTCCTTCAGGAGCTGCCTTGAACATCCAGTGTGTATGTATGGATGTTTCCCAGTGATGGGTTGCAGCTGGAAGGGGATCTGCTGTGTAAAACATATGCTGGAAAAGTTGGTGGTTCATTCCGCTGAGGCGACCCCTGATGGGACTAAGCTGAAGGAAAATAAATGAAAAACACTAAAGATACTTTAATGAAAACTAAAAACCTAACTATAATGATAGAACAAACAAATACTATGGAAGCCAATTGGTTATGGGTTTCCAGCTTTCTCAAAAATATTTTTTTGTGATTTACAAAAGAAAGTAAACCAAGTTTGAACCAAAAGAAGGGTGAGTAAATGATGACAAGAGTTTTCATTTTTGGGAGAACTATCCCTTTAAGTCAGCTACAGAGTCTGGTTTACATTATCCATTAAAAAATTCCCATTTTTCCCACAAAATGATCAGAAATTCCACTTACCCCGGGCTGGCAATGGTGGTGCTGGTCACGGTGGTTGAACAAACTATGAAATAATACAGCAGTTTGATCACAACACAACCTGAAATTCAACTTTAATACTGTGGTATGATCTATTGTTTTACATAGTACTTTTTTAAGTGGCCGCATGGTCATATTTGTATTTAATAACATTGTTATATTCCTTATCCCCTTTTTTTCTATTCAGGAAAAGCAATTTTAACTTATGAGATCAAACCATCTATACTAGGACTTTTATTAGACCCAAACCCGCCAATTTTTTTGTTAAAAGTTTTGTGGTCAGTACAATTTGTCTTTTGTAAATAAATAAATGCAAGATACATTAATTATACTCTGACAGAAAAGACATAATGTTCAATATAAATCTATGTAAAGTAAATTCTGTTCTTTTAAACTTTGTTCATCAAAGAATCCTGAAGAAAGTTATCTACATATTAGTCTAGTTTTAATATTGATAAGAAGTGGTAGCGCTCAACTGAGCCTGGTATCTCTCAAGGTTTTTTCCTTCACTTTCGTCAATTGGTAAAGTTTGTTATACGTCACTGGCTTACTTGGTTTGGGACTTGTGAAGCTGCGCATCAATGGATTTGCTTTTCAGTGTTTGGACTTTCAGCAGTAAAAATTAAACCACACTAAACTGAACTTTAACTCTGGACTGACAGTTTCAATCTAGAACTTCTATGTTAAGCTGCTGTGACACAATATACATTGTGAAAGCGCTATAGCAGGGGTGTTCAAACTCGGTCCTGCTAAGTTTAGCTTCAACTTTCAACAAACCGGCTAGGAAGTTTCTAATATATCTAGTAAGAGCTTGATTAGCTGGTTCAGGTGTGATTGATTAGAGTTAGAGCTAAACTCTCCAGGACACCGGCCCTCCAGGACCCAGTTTAGACACCCCTGCACTATAGGAATGAAGATGAATTGAAGATGTTTAATCAAATCAGCACATTAAAATGATTTCTTTAAGTCCTTGAGACTAAAGATTGGGGTGAATATGCTGAAAATTCACCTGTAACAGAAACACATTACATTTTATAATTTATTAAACTGTTTTTTTGGTCAAATAAAACTTCACAACTGGCAAATAATCATATTTAACTTCATTGATATTAGCATAAACATTATATTTATATCATGAAAGTCTTCCCTTAATAACACTCCAGGGTTTTCCATTTAGTATTTCAATTAGTGCCTTATAAGATAACAGACAACTATAATAAATCCTAATATTATATTATAATTATAATGGATATTATATTAATCCTAATATCCAAACCTTTTATCATTAATAAAATTACTAAATGTTTTCCGCAGAGGCTCCAAATGTAAATAAATATATGTATATATCCAAGTCAAATGCAAACAAGACAAGTAAGAAAGAGAAGTAAAAAATTTATTGCAGTATTTGCTCCTCCACACATGCTGGGGTCCCCCGTGTCCCGCTGTGGGGTGTAGAGACCCGACCCCTGACCCAATACATCAAAATCTACATTTACAAAAGGATCCCTCCCGTCCATGTTGGCGACAGATACTGCATGCTCTGCTTTCAAACTGAATAAATTATGTCCAGGAGACTCCATTTTACAGCACAAAAGAAGTCAAACATAAAGCAGAGGAGATGTTTCAACGTTTATTTCCCTGGAAAACTGAGCTAAGCTAAAGAAATCCATCCGGCGCTAGGTTAAACTCCAAGGTCACTTTTATTAAGAACATCAACAGACTAATTTCCAACATTCACTTTAGGTTTATTTCTTTAAACAGACTTTTTTTTCTTTTTTTCGTCAGAGATATAAACATTTTTTGTTTGCGTTTTTGTGTGTTAAACTATGATACAGTGAAGGGGGAGGAAAAAATATTTCAAACAACCAGGTTTTGCTGCACAACAGCGAAGGAGCTCCGTTTAACTTAAAAAGATGTACAGGATTCACATCTGAACAAACCAACACTTCCTTAATACCGCGTGGGATCTTAAAACCTGCGAGTCTGTAGTATCTCCGACTTTACAAAACGTTGAATCCTGATGAAGTTTGGCTGCTGAGAGTTTACTGGGTGTAACAGTTCCAGAGTTATTACAGGTTTAATTAGCTGGAAGATCCTTCCTTGGCTGCGTACAGTGAACGTAAAGTCTGCACCACTTTGTTGCTCAGTTTGTGTGCGCTCGTCAAGGCAATTTTCTTGTAAATAATGTCAGACTCCTTTATAGTGTCCACCCAAGGCACCAGTTTGCGTCCGTCTCGTTTCTTGGCCTCGGCCCAGGTGCCGGAGTAGGATCCGGCCATCCAGTGAATGCTGTATCCTTTGCTGGTCTTCTGAATAACGCGTGCGATCTGCGGCCGGTCCTTATATTTAGGGCAGCACAGAGCGATGACGTCCGTGGCTTCCACGGTTTCGTTCCTGTGTCCTGATGCCTCCGCCGAATCTCCGGTTCTCCTTGACTTCCGGGAGGACTGCAAGAGGACAAATAGAGAGTTTTACTCTGAGAGAACAACCACATATATGTTCATTATCAAATTACAACAACTCAAATAAATTTAATTGAGTAGTTTTTCCTCAGGAACTGCAATTTACTAGTTTTAAACGAGTACATTTACTTTTCCTAAGGTGCATGTTTAGTACTTTTACTCCACTATTTTGTTCAACCTGCAGTCGCTACTTAATTTTGTCTTGTCTATGAGGATTGGCGGAGTACACTACATGACAAAAGTCTTGTCTCCTATACAAGTTTTAGGAACAGCAAATAATAACTCGACTTCTAGTTGATCATTTGGCGTCAGAAGCAGCTTATATGAAAGGCAAAGGCCTCTAGATTACGCTTTTTTCACCAAAATAAAATATAATCATGCTTTGATTTTTAATTATTTAATTAGGACAGTGAGGTCTGACTTTGCTTAAACAAAAGTCTTGTCACTTAACAGAAATAATGTACAGTATATAAAGTAATGCTGCGGAAAAAGAATGATTATTGTGTATGACTCCCATGAGCTTGTAGTACTGCATCCATACATCTCTGCAATGACTCAAATCACTTATTAATAAAGTCATCTGGCGCAGGATGTATTATTGCTGTGAGACTGGTGCTGCGAAATTGGAAGAACTCTTTGGAAGAATACTGTTTTTAAGAATTGGATTGATCTGATGAATTCTACTGCATCAAATGAACATACTGTATGTTGGCAAGACTTCAGGACTTTTCAGGACCCATACTTTTTATCAGAAATGGGGTAGCTTTTTGCAGTAGTTGGAGAGCACATAAAAGGAAAGTTGAAGGGTTGTCATTTTGACTGTCTGTTGTATTGTATTATTTTATATTTGTTTCCATTTTTGTTTTGCTATTATTTTTATTATAATTTTTTACATTATTTTCCTGAATGTCGATTTAGTATGGTGAATTTCATGCTGTGTGGGGTATAAAAGTTCAAAATAAAAAAAAAAGTTCATTAATAAATAAAGTCATCTGGAATGGCAAAGAAAGTGTTCTTGCAGGACTCCCAGTGTTCATCAAGATACTCTGGATTCATCTTCAATGCCTCCTTAATCTTACCCCAGACATGCTCAATAATGTTCATGTCTGGTGATTGGGCTGGCCAACATCGGAGCACCTTGACCTTTGCTTTCAGGAACTTTGATGTGGAGGCTGAAGTATGAGGAGCGCTATCCTGCTGAAGAATTTGCCCTCTCCTGTGGTTTGTAATGTAATGGGCTGCACAAATGTCTTGATACCTCAAGCTGTTGATGTTGCTATCCACTCTGCAGATCTCTCACACGCCCCCATACTGAATGTAACCCCAAACCATGATTTATCTTCACCAAACTTGACTGATTTCTGTGAGAATCCTGGGTCCATCTGGGTTCCAATCTTATGTAGTATTTGGGATGATTGGGATGCAGTTCAACAGATGATTCATCAGAAAAATCTGCCACTTTTCCAAATTATTAACTAGAAGTCAAGTTATTATGTGTTGCTCTAACAACTGG